AACTATCCAAAAAATTACAGATTTAATTCAATGTCCTCAAGCATATCTGGCAGAGAACAGTGTAACATTGTGTTAATAAAGTAACAGTTGCTCATTTGTATTTTTAAAAATTAGAGTGAGAATCCACATACACCTTCCAAGTCCAGAACTGCACCTTGTTAAAACCTAAGTGGTCCAAGTTTTCAAACCCAGTGTAATATTAAAAGAAATACCCATTCCACCACATTAAAAAAAAACCAGAAAAGCTTTAATACACAATACTACAAAGTTAAAAAAAAAAGAAAATGACACAGCTAAAAGTAGAAAAATACATTGTAAGACAATTATATTTGTTCCTTAAACTGTTGAAGATATCAAAAAATATTTTAGATTAGACCATTTTAACAATTTGTGGCATTTTCTGGAGATGAGAAACAATTGGGTGCAAAATGGTTTCCTTTGGGTAATAAGTCCAGGTATTGACTCCCAAGTTAGTAGCTCTTAAATCCCTACACAACATGGCAGATTCCACTCTGATGCATCAGTGTCTGAAATATTGAACAAACTGTTCAGAGATAGGCTAGGAAGTCAGCCAGTATCCTTCAAATAGTGTACTGTAGACAGGCAGCCTTTTGCAGCTAAAGTCTTTGTGGATTCAAGTTGCCCCTAAAACACAGCAAAAAGCTCTTTCCATCAGTGATGTAGTCTAAGACATGGTGGTAATATGTATTTAAGTCATTCATATTTTGTTACCCTTCTGGCTTGTGTTCTCTAAATTCATACTACTTATGTTACCAAGAGATGGAGATGATGAAAACAGACAAGAAAATTACCAATTTTAGTGACTAATAAATATTTTTAAAAAATAATGCGCTTTTCACATGATGGTGCTGGAGTCAGTTAAAATTCCTCTAGGTAAATCTATTTTCCTTTTCACATACAGTAACCTAATATACAAAAATGTTATAATTCAGACAGTACTGCCACTGACCAGCAGGTGGTGCTGATCTAAAAGGAATGATGGTATCAACATCCTCCTCTATGCCTCTTTCTTAGACTTTTTAAAAAAAATTACACATATATACACATCTCATCTCATTTGGTCAAAGTTTTGTTTGGAAAGTATAAATGCAGCGCTTCCCCAACATTGCTACCACCAGAGTAGGAAATGGCTACTTTATATAGAGTTTGTCCAGATTAGACATAACACGGCAAATAATCTGTGTAAACAAAAGTTAATGGAAGACCAGTATGTAATAATAGGAGGACTGATCAATTGTCATGAACTTTTAATATTTTAAGAGAAAACTGTGTTTTTCTCTGACCAGTTTAAAAAAAGACCCCACTCCAAACTGACATGTCCGTTACTATTCTCAAAAATCCACGCGAACCCAAAAGAGCCGTTTCCTAGCCCGTGGGATTTTTTCTGAAGTTTGTGTCAACTGAAAGTAATTTTAGATTTGGTGCTTCCATTTGCTCTCTCATTTTAAAACTGGGACAAACTATACATTTATACTATTTTTCAGAATTTGCAGTAACAGTTTTACGTCTAATCCCCAAAACCATGTTTCCTAGAAAGTAACATTTTTCACACCCATGGGGTCTATACGAATGTAGCTTCTCTCATTCTGTGCGTCAGGGGTTGCAAGAGTCCAATTTGTTCCAATTGGCATTTAAGACTGAAAACACTAAGTACAGGAACTGCCACTAAAGTGTAATCACAGTTCCATCCTCTTCAATGCCTCCTCTAGGGATAACCAAACTATGTCGGGGATCAGTTTTTAAGGAGCTTAGTATTTTGTGGATGTTACCGTTGCTTTCTCGGCCAGAGTTACTGTTGAGAGCCAGGTCTCTCTGAAGTCTGTGGCTAAGACTGCTGCCATTGATTCGGGAGAGACTACTAGTGGGGAAGCTGTGCAATTTGGGAATGTGCTGCGGGTCCAGACCACCCTCAATGACAATGTCAGCTTCCTCATCACTCTCCATCTCATCAGGGTGGAAGTTTTGCAGCATGTGTGAAGAAGGCAAGCTGTGGTGACTAGCTGTGCTATCTGTGGACTGGCCTGAGCTGCCAGACATCCTACTGCTTCGGATAATATTGTTCCTTTGGTTTGCTGGCTTCACAGTGATAATAAGATTGTGGCTGTTGGCGATCATCATGTCCGTTACTTGGTCAAGAGTTTTCCCAGCCACTTCAATGCCATTAACTTCCAGGACCTCATCATTAACAGCCAGCAATCCTGTGCTCTCTGCTAAGCCACCAGGAACCATACGAGAGATGAAAATACCAGGTACTTTTTCCAGTCCATGAGGAGTTACTCTCACACTGGTCCCATCACGGATGTAAAATCCTAATGGTTTCTCACACCCGTGTCGATAGAGCCTCACTCTTCTGTGCGTTTCAGGAAGAATGTCCACATCAATGATGGAAGACACTGGTCTAAAATCATGAGGCATGCTGATATTAATGTGGGGACGCCTGCGAAGGTTGTCATTGCGGAGAGTCACCAGAGCCTTCTTTTTCCTGGTTAGCGTGTTGGTCCCAAAGTTACTGTAGTCCACTTCATCTGGAAAAGAGAAGCTACTGTTATATATCAATTTTATGGATTATAGGTCAATCTGGAAGGTGTATCTAATAAGCAAATCTGGTTCAGTGAAGTGTCTCTCCCAATATATGAATGCCAATGAAGTCCGCTGCTTAGCTAAAAATCTCATTTAATTTTGTTTGTTACCACTTCACTCAGACAATTCACTGAATTACTATTAATACTTCCAATCACAATCATATTTTGCAAGATATCAGATGTTTGGTCTCATCTATTTTTTCTAACATGAGAATACTTGCTATTGCAAGTCTGACACACGGTTCTACTCTTACGGACAGATTTTCAGTGATAGGGACTTGTATTTTATGCATACATCTCAGGTGTGCAAATACCAGACGTCCATATGCAAATTATCCACACATGACTAACTCTGAAATCTGAATCTTGGAGTATTTTATGTCCAGGCTACAGATTTGTACGTTTGTGTTGGTACCTGGAATGAGTGTTCCTCTGTGTGAAGAGCGTGTTGTGTGTACATTTTAAAAAAGTGGTTAAATTCTCTTTGCAGAGTTTTATCCCAAGAATGCGTGTGACTGATTCCAATCAGCAATGAGATGCATAAACATGTGAGGTTATGGGAGTTATATATTCTATGTAAAGAGTTCATGTGGTGACTAAGAAATGCTCCAAGAACCACAGAATAACAGATGTACCTAAAATTCTTATCCCTAGTTCCCAATACAAATATGGTATCATATTTTAACATAAAACATACATTCATTGGAGAGATCTTTCATCAGAAGTTCAAGAGGGCTAGCACTTCAGACATAAGTATTAATAAAGTGTTGATTAATTCTACTGTTGGAAGACAAGCCTCTAAAGATACACAAGTGGTAAACAGTGAGACTAATATTTTCATTCTTTCCCTCCCACAGCACAAAGGGTTTGGGTGTATCAATGTGTATTTGAGAAGTGGTATCTCTCTCTGCTGGACTTTGTCATAACCCAAAAGTGTTGGAAAAAAACAAAGTTTAGACTCAAATGTTACAGAAATGCTTAATGCCTAATCCTTTTTGATCAGTTTTTCAAGAGGATTATGGAGATTTATATGATGAATAATTAGAAGATAATTTAAAATCATCCTGATAGTATAACTTGAAGACTAAGTTATCTAGCTGTTAAAGGAAACTGGAGTTCTTGGTCAGAGAAGCAGCATTTATGGTAATTTTCTTCTAGTTGCATAGAACACCCCATTAATGTCCAAATTCTCTGTTGCCCTACGCCCCATTTGCACTGACTATGTTAGCACAAAGTGGCCACAAAGTAGCTGTAGGATTCTCCCCCTCAAGAATATCTCCAGTGCAAGGGGCACCTCTTGGGCAGGTGTGCGAAATTTAAAGCTTGTCCCTGTTCTCTTTCATTACAGGTCCCTCAAAGCCACACCAGCTGCTCTGCTATATTACCTTAGCACGCACCATGCTGTGGCATCATAACTACTCCAGAGCCAACCCATACGATAGGCACAACCCTTCCCCCCCCCCCTCCAAATCAGTGTACACTGGCAAAGTTAATACTGAAATGTTTAAAATATCCAAATATAAAAGTCTGAAACATTGCCAGGAAGTGGCCACAGCCAGGATAATGCTAAAAGAAATTTTTGGTAGCAGAAATTAGACTTTTCTGCTTCCCTCATTGACAGAATTGTCAATTAAATTTCCATCACTGGTGAGCATTCATGAGCCAGAAAGACCTCAGATTGACTTCAGATCCCAGAAAGTTTCCAGGGCTCACTATAAACTTCTTGCAAACTGAAGAAATTTGATGTAGACCGTAATGACAAGCATAGACTCTCACTACCAAGCCCCACCTCAAAAGTCGACACTTGTCTCCCCCCAACTGCACCTTGCTGGTAAAATTGTTAGCAGTGCTTGAGGGAGAGGGGGTGGGTGGAAGAGATTTAAAATCAGAAGTTCTTCCTCAACCATAACTAAAGCATTGTGGTAGCAGCACTGTATTTTACTTTAATGAAAAACAATGAAAGCTTAAATGACTAAACTGTGCAGATTTTGGTGAAACCCAAGATTAAATAGTAATGTTTTAATTTATATTTAAAATACATGAAAACCAGTTTCATTTAGAACTTCCCTCGGCAGTGTTAGAACCATCCCCGCATTATGCTAGTTCATGAGAACCAGAAAGAGATTCTGTTACACTTTGCCCATATTGCAATAAAACTACACTAGTCAGAGTCCCTAACCTTCCACTCACTCCCTCAAAATACCGACACAATATAAATGGTGAGAAGTAATGATTTGCGATGTGACGGAGAGACTGCCGAGACTCATCAAGCCCTCGGATCGCTACCCCTTCCTGCTTCTCCATGTGGGCACCAATGATACTGCCAAGAATGACCTTGAGCGGATCACTGTGGACTACGTGGCTCTGGGAAGAAGGATAAAGGAGTTTGAGGCACAAGTGGTGTTCTCGTCCATCCTCCCCGTGGAAGGAAAAGGCCTGGGTAGGGACCATTGAATCATGGAAGTCAACGAATGGCTACGCAGGTGGTGTCAGAGAGAATGCTTTGGATTCTTTGACCATGGGATGGTGTTCCATGAAGGAGGAGTGCTGGGCAGAGACGGGCTCCACCTTACGAAGAGAGGGAAGAGCATCTTTGCGAGCAGGCTGGCTAACCTAGTGAGGAGGGCTTTAAACTAGGTTCACCGGGGGAAGGAGACCAAAGCCCTGAGGTAAGTGGGAAAGCGGGATACCGGGAGGAAGCACAGGCAGCAATGTCTGTGAGGGGAGGGCTCCTGCCTCATACTGAGGATGAGGGGCGATCAGCAGGTTATCTCAAGTGCTTATATACGAATGCACAAAGCCTTGGAAACAAGCAGGGTGAACTGGAGGTCCTGGTGATGTCAAGGAATTATGATGTGATTGGAATAAGAGAGACTTGGTGGGATAACTCACATGACTGGAGTACTGTCATGGATGGTTATAAACTGTTCAGGAAGGACAGGCAGGGCAGAAAAGGTGGGGAGTAGCACTGTATGTAAGGGAGCAGTATGACTGCTCAGAGCTCCGGTACGAAACTGCAGAAAAACCTGAGTGTCTCTGGATTAAGTTTAGAAGTGTGAGCAACAAGAGTGATGTAGTGGTGGGAGTCTGCTATAGACCACCGGACCAGGGGGATGAGGTGGATGAGGCTTTCTTCCGGCAGCTCGCAGAAGCTACTAGATTGCATGCCCTGGTTCTCATGGGCGACTTTAATCATCCTGATATCTGCTGGGAGAGCAATACAGCGGTGCATAGACAATCCAGGAAGTTTTTGGAAAGCGTAGGGGACAATTTCCTGGTGCAAGTGCTAGAGGAGCCAACTAGGGGGGGAGCTTTTCTTGACCTGCTGCTAACAAACTGGGAAGAATCAGTGGGGGAAGCAAAAGTGGATGGGAATCTGGGAGGCAATGACCATGAGTTGGTTGAGTTCAGGATCCTGACATAGGGAAGAAAGGTAAGCAGCAGGATACGGACCCTGGACTTCAGGAAAGCAGACTTCGACTCCCTCAGGGAACGGATGGGTAGGATCCCCTGGGGGACTAACATGAAGGGGAAAGGAGTCCAGGAGAGCTGGCTGTATTTCAAGGAATCCCTGTTGAGGTTACAGGGACAAACCATCCTGATGTGTCGAAAGAATAGTAAATATGGCAGGCGACCAGCTTGGCTTAACGGTGAAATCCTAGCGGATCTTAAACATAAAAAAGAAGCTTACAAGAAGTGGAAGGTTGGACATATGACCAGGGAAGAGTATAAAAATATTGCTCGGGCATGTAGGAATGAAATCAGGAGGGCCAAATCGCACCTGGAGCTGCAGCTAGCAAGAGATGTCAAGAGTAACAAAAAGGGTTTCTTCAGGTATGTTGGCAACAAGAAGAAAGCCAAGGAAAGTGTGGGCCCCTTAATGAATGAGGGAGGCAACTTAGTGACAGAGGATGTGGAAAAAGCTAATGTGCTCAATGCTTTTTTTGCCTCTGACTTCACGAACAAGGTCAGCTCCCAGACTGCTGTGCTGGGCATCACAACATGGGGAATAGATGGCCAGCCCTCTGTGGAGAAAGAGGTGGTTAGGGACTATTTAGAAAAGCTGGACGTGCACAAGTCCATGGGGCCGGACGAGTTGCATCCGAGAGTGCTGAAGGAATTGGAGGCTGTGATTGCAGAGCCATTGTCCATTATCTTTGAAAACTCGTGGAGAACGGGGGAAGTCCCAGATGACTGGAAAAAGGCTAATGTAGTGCCAATCTTTAAAAAAGGGAAGAAGGAGGATCCTGGGAACTACAGGCCAGTCAGCCTAACCTCAGTCCCCGGAAAAATCATGGAGCAGGTCCTCAAAGAATCAATCCTGAAGCACTTACATGAGAGGAAAGTGATCAGGAACAGTCAGCATGGATTCACCAAGGGAAGGTCATGCCTGACTAATCTAATCGCCTTCTATGATGAGATTACTGGTTTTGTGGATGAAGGGAAAGCAGTGGATGTATTGTTTCTTGACTTTAGCAAAGCTTTTGACACGGTCTCCCACAGTATTCTTGTCAGCAAGTTAAAGAAGTGTGGGCTGGATGAATGCACTATAAGGTGGGTAGAAAGTTGGCTAGATTGTCGGGGTCAACGGGTAGTGATCAATGGCTCCATGTCTAGTTGGCAGCCGGTGTCAAGTGGAGTGCCCCAGGGGTCGGTCCTGGGGCCGGTTTTGTTCAATATCTTCATAAATGATCTGGAGGATGGTGTGGATTGCACTCTCAGCAAATTTGCAGATGATACTAAACTGGGAGGAGTGGTAGATACGCTGGAGGGCAGGGATAGGATACAGAGGGACCTAGACAAATTGGAGGATTGGACCAAAAGAAATCTGATGAGGTTCAATAAGGATAAGTGCAGGGTCCTGCACTTAGGACGGAAGAACCCAATGCACAGCTACAGACTAGGGACCGAATGGCTAGGCAGCAGTTCTGCGGAAAAGGACCTAGGGGTGACAGTGGATGAGAAGCTGGATATGAGTCAGCAGTGTGCCCTTGTTGCCAAGAAGGCCAATGGCATTTTGGGATGTATAAGTAGGGGCATAGCGAGCAGATCGAGGTACGTGATCGTCCCCCTCTATTCGACATTGGTGAGGCCTCATCTGGAGTACTGTGTCCAGTTTTGGGCCCCACACTTCAAGAAGGATGTGGATAAATTGGAGAGAGTCCAGCGAAGGGCAACAAAAATGATTAGGGGTCTGGAACACATGACTTATGAGGAGAGGCTGAAGGAACTGAGATTGTTTAGTCTGCAGAAGAGAAGAATGAGGGGGGATTTGATAGCTGCTTTCAACTACCTGAGAGGTGGTTCCAGAGAGGATGGTTCTAGACTATTCTCAGTGGTAGAAGAGGACAGGACAAGGAGTAATGGTCTCAAGTTGCAATGGGGGAGGTTTAGGTTGGATATTAGGAAAAACTTTTTCACTAGGAGGGTGGTGAAACACTGAAATGGGTTACCTAGGGAGGTGGTAGAATCTCCTTCCTTGGAAGTTTTTAAGGTCAGGCTTGACAAAGCCCTGGCTGGGATGATTTAATTGGGGATTGGTCCTGCAGGGGGTTGGACTAGATGACCTCCTGAGGTCCCTTCCAACCCTGATATTCTATGATTCTTTTCAAAATCACTCCGTTTTAATACTGCAAGGCAGACTTGCAAAATTCTACTCGTCCAGTTAGCTAAGAAGAGTCTGATACCTTAATTTTCTTTACACATCAGTGATTAGACCAGTGGTTCTCAACCTATTTATCTATATGTGGCCTGCATCCAGTATTACCTGTATGGCCATGAGGATGTCACATGGGCTGCAGTTCTGTGCTGATTGTGCCACAAGTGGCCCGTGGGCCACAGGCTGAGAACCACTGGAGTATACAGTGTATGGATTGATTAACATGACAATTTGCAAGATTGTTTTGAGGTAATATGAATGCCACAACTAAAGAAGAGTATACGAAGACACAGATATCCCAACATGTATAGTCATGATATCCATGCAACAAGTACCTTTAGTTCCACAACCATGGGGGAGGGGGAAGACAGAAACTTGAATTTGTTTTGCTCTTTTGACCTTCTCACATGCTCTCAGCCTACTAATCCATCTTCTGAGATGACTGCCCACATTCCTAACCTCTGAGCAGCTTTATACAGCTACCTTTTTTAATTAAAAGAGAACCTACCACAGAAATGGTTTTTCTTTTCCTCCAAACATGGATCAGACAGAAGTAGGCATTACATTGCAAATCACACAGGCTACATTCAGTGCAGGTCCACTGACTGTTTTAGGGGGTTAGTATTTCATGACCAGCTTGCACTAGAAACCAATCCAACGTCTCATCGACACAATGGGATTTCCATTTTTCTGGTAATGTCAAGCAGTAGTTTTAAGCCCTGGCCAGTCATGCAATATTAGTTTTTAAGACCATATCATTTTCATTTCTAGAGAACTCAAGTTTAATTTCTGGATGTTATTACCAAGTGTTGTCACTCCAAAGCCCCAGGAACTAAGGCAGCCACTTGACTTTGGAGAGAGAGAGATTAAAATAAGCTACAAATTAAAGTTTTCTAGAAGAGCTCAAATACAAAATACATGATGGGTGATGACACAGCTTTTGTTGGGACGCCCTGCTCGCTCGCCAACAACTATACATGCAACAATTGATCTCTGTACTGCGAATTTCTGTAAAGAGGGAATATTCTTGCTTCATCCTACAGGGAAGTAGTTCCATTGAAATGTGACATCAGTTTCCATGACGACAGAATGAGGTAAATCACACAAGTGCAGGATGGAACAGAAACCCTGTGATGAAGGTAGAGGAGGAGGAGAGTACTTACTGGCTAAGTAAGTTACTTTGCATATAAAAGTTCTCTCTTTTCCAGTTTGCCCTAGTGTGCAAGTCTCTGTCAAACTGTGGTTTATTACTGAAAGTCAGCAATAAAAACTGTTCAAAAGTCAAATTGTCTGTGACACTGCACTAATTACACAGGTACACAGTTAACAGGGGTTAATAATATAGTAGTGAATAAGTTCTTGGAGTTTCTTCATCATAAAATTTCAGGAAGTACAGTAATTCCATTTTACTTAATGGAGTGGATCATGTTTGATTACTGGTTCTTAATGGGGATGAACAATTACTGTGTGAAAACTTGTAATATTCCACACAAGGCAAGCTGGCAGAATTCTCCATCCTGCTTAATCATTCTGATGTGGAATAAAATTGATCCCTCTGTGGGTCAAAGATGTCAGTGTTTCTGCAAACTTCTGCACAATGCTGGGAACACTGTCTAGAGGTCCTGTATTTCAGTGAAAGTCAGATTACATAAATAAGAAAAAATGTGACCCCTGCATGCAGCCACAGTGTAAAGAATTAAAGTGTGACTGATGCTATTCACAGGTGACAGGAAGGAAGAACTAGACCAGCGGTTCTCAAACTGTGGGTTGTGACCCCAGGGCTGGCGTTAGACTGGCTGGGACCCAGAGCCAAACTGAAGCCCAAGCCCCACAACAGAGGGCAGCAGGGCTCAGTTTACAGGCCCCCCTGCCCAGGGATGAAGCCTTGGGGCTTTGGCTTTGGGACCCCCTGCTTGTGGTGGTGGGGCTCGGGCTTTGCCCGCCCCACCCCCACCTCGGAGCAGCAGGTTCATGCAGGCTCAGGCTTCAGTCCCCATTCTTGAGGTCGTGTAGTAATTTTTTAAAGATTTACAACCTATCCTGAAAAATGATTCCTCACTCTCACAGGTCCAGTCCTCACTTACAGACAGCCCCACAATCTGAAGCAAATACTCACCAGCAATCACCCACCACACAACAAAAACACTAACCTAGGAACCTATCCTTGCAACAAAGCCCGATACCAACGCTGTCCACATATTTATTCAAGTGACACCATCATAGGATCTAATCACATTAGCCACGCCATCAGGGGCTCGTTCACCTGCACATCTACTAATGTGATATATGCCATCATGTGCCAGCAATGCCCCTCTGCCATGTACGTTGGCCAAACCGGACAGTCTCTACACAAAAGAATAAATGGACACAAATCTGACATCAGGAATCATAACATTCAAAAATCGGTAGGAGAACACTTCAACCTCTCTGGCCACTCAGTGAAAGATCTAAGGGTGGCAATTTTGCAACAGAAAAGCTTCAAAAACAGACTCCAACGAGAAACTGCTGAGCTTGAATTAACATGCAAACTAGATACCATTAACTTGGGTTTGAATAGAGACTGGGAGTGGCTGGGTCATTACACATATTGAATCTATTTCCTTAAGTATCCTCACACCTTCTTGTCAACTGTCTAAATGGGCCATCTTGATTATCACTATAAAAGTTTTTTTTTCCTGCTGATAATAGCTCATCTTAACTAATCAGCCTCTCACAGTGTGTGTGGCAACTTCCAACTTATCTGTATGTATTGTGACAAAGTTCCTCCTCTGGTGGGTCCTGTGCTTTTTGGCGGATTTGCTCGCCTCAGAGATTCACAGCAGCCCTCAGTTTGGCCACCTTCATGGCTCAAATCTGCCGTTCACTCAGTTAGCCTCATCACTGGCCAGCATGGGGAAAAGGAAGAACAATAATCCCCGCAGTGTCTGCTGATCCACCTAGTGGATTGGGGAACAGGCCAGAGACCTTCCCTTCTGGTGGAACCCACAGTCCAGGTCAACTCCTCCGGTATCAAGTAGGGAGTCGGGAACCTGGACCTGCCCTCTACTTCGGGTTCCAGTCCAGGGCCCTGTGGATTGCAGCTGTCTACAGTGGCTCCTGTAACAGCTGTGTGACAGCTACAACTCCCTGGGCTACTTCCCCATGGCCTCCTCCCAACACCTTCAGTATCCTCACCTCAGGACCTTCTTCCTGATGTCTGAGGATACTTGTACTTCTCAAAAAGAAAAGGAGTACTTGTGGCACCTTAGAGACTAACCAATTTATTTGAGTATAAGCTTTCGTGAGCTACAGCTCACTTCATCTTTTTGCAAATACAGACTAACACGGCTGTTACTCTGAAACCTGTCATTATGCAAGGCACTGCATTTAGCCGTATGGAGTGGAAATCTATCAACTGCATGAAAAAACTTGTACTTCTCAGTCTTCCAGCAGTACACCTTCTCACTCTCAGCTTCTTGTGCCTCCTGCTCCCAGCTCCTTGCATGCACCACAAACTGAAGTGAGCTCCTTTTTAAAACCCAGGTGCCCTGATTAGCCTGCCTGTCTTAATTGATTCTAGCAGCTTCTTGATTGGCTGCAGGTGTTCTAATCAGCCCACCTGCCTTGTTTCCAGACAGTTCCTGATTGTTCTGGAACCTTCCCTGTTACCTTACCCAGGGAAAAGGGACCTACTTAACCTGGGGCTAATATATCTGCCTTCTATCACTCTCCTGTAGCGATCTGGCCTGACCCTGTTGAGAGAGAGAGAGAGAGAGAGAGTGTGTGAGTGTGTGTGTCTTCTTACTATACGTTCCATTCTATGTATCCGATGAAGTGGGCTGTAGCCCACGAAAGCTTATGCTCTTATAAATTTGTTAGTCTCTAAGGTGCCACAAGTGCTCCTGTTCTTTTTTTAGTAATTTTTGTTGTCAGAAGGGCATTGCGGTGCAATGAATTTTGAGAGTCCCTGAACTAGACTTCTGGGTGCTGAATCTGAACACTGAATCGATTTCTTAATGAAGTATTATAAAGAGAATGCTTGAAGCTCTGTCAAGCATAAAATGCAGTGCTTACAGATTGTTAAGACAAGTATCCAGGATCTGACGGATCAAACTGCTATCACTGAACTACAGAAGACTCAGACATGAGTTTTAACTATGCTGACAATTTTATTTCCTGTAAAATTTTTAAATGTCAAAAAGAAGGGCTCCTGACCTTGTCAGTTCCATCCCATCTAACTTCCCAACATAATGCTGCACATACAGAAATACCTTCGAATTTTTTTTGTAGACACCTACTGTTACTGTTCCTCTTTCCCATAAGGCATTTACTTTTAGTGCATTTTGTGAAAAATTCCATTACTGAGCAGCCTGTTGGACAAACAAACACTTGGAATATTTTTGTCTGCCTCCTCATTTAACAATATAGTGAGACTTTTTTAATAGTGAGACTTATCTCATTGTTAAAATGAAGACGTCTTTTTATTAGTGAAGAGAGCGCCTTGCACAGCAGCACCCTTCCTCAGGCATTTGAGATTACCAGGATTTGTTTACGTTGGTGGAACTACCTCTTCTTGTCCCACAATATTGAAACTTGGTAGGACAGCTCACTCCCAAGTCCGGAAACTTTTTCCGGCACAGCTTCTAAATTTCGTCAATGACTTCAAGCTAAAAATAAATTTTTAGCAAGGAAAGCATCATCCCAAAATACAGCACGTGCGCAAATACCCGTGGTACCCATTAGTTACTCCTGTAACAAATTTGTATTCTGCCTCAGGCTGACTGCTTACAGAACATAAATATTTACCTTCCTAGTGGCCATTGGGAATATTACCCTGGAGTCATGTAATCAATTCACAAAAAAAAAAAATAAATGTATCACAGGGGAGCATATTTAAATAGCTATTTGTAAGGGAGAAGAAAACTGCTTAGAACATCTGGTTTTAGCCAAAAAAATATTGTATTTCCTTAATTTACATGAAACAAGAAATTACAGACCTTCTGAAGCAACACCAGGAGCACCACTCCCATTGCTTGGACAGCTGCTTTCCATAGGAACTGCCTGCCAGGCTGAATACCAAAGCTTAGCCAGATAAGATTATATAAACAAGCTGAATTCCACAGAGAAGCCGACTGCCAGTCTCCTATAGGAACAGTTCATTTTAGACTCTACATTTTCAGAGTGTGCATACTCTTGGCTTATTATTTCCTCTGGGAACTGTGGAACATTAGTTGACAGCTCTGGAAAGTACTTCAAAGACAAAATTACTTCCACTAGGGAGAGCAGCACTTCAGGCAGCTTGGGAATGAGGCCAATGACTCATTAATAGCAATGGGTTGCCCCTCAATCCAATAGATCTCCATTACTGAATGTTAAAATAAGCAGAGGTCCTAGAAGAGTTTGCGGGAGACATTATGTTTACCCCTTCAGCCCTCCTATACACCATCTACAAACACTAGTATATTTTACCATAATGTGGTTTATGTAAATACACTGACAATGTTGTTTTTAAACACATTTAGGTACACTTGCACCCTAAACTCTACAGAATGAGAGCAAGAGTACTGTGACATGATCAAGCAACACAGAGGTTGGCAGGAGAAACATCTTCAGCCAAATGAGATCTGCAGCAGATAGCATTCAAAAGGATTAAAAGAAAACAGACATGAGGTGAAAGGGTTAGGTAAGTTCCTGGGTCTAGATCAGTCATGAATGAGTAATTAGGGGGGAAAAAAGATTAAGCTAGTGTTCAAATGAACCTTTTAATTATGCTGAAGTTAAACATAAATAAATAAATAAATAAAAATCATTCCCTAGTAAGCCCCAGAGGAGCTGTTCTAAGTTTATGGTTTGATGAAGAACTGGTTGTACTTACTGTTCTATTTAAAGTAACTTCTCAATTTTTTCCCTTTGATAATACTGTACCAGGTGTTCAAAGAAACTGGACAGCATGGAGTCCTATTTTTCAGCTGAAGGAGTAACCTGGCTGTTTTAGCTGTGCCCCACACAGAGGGGTTTTCAAACAAAGAACAGGACAAACACAAATACAATCTCATTAAGTTAATAAAACCGAAACAAATCACAGGAGAGTGTGTGGAAATTCTTGCGTTTCTCTTATACGCTCCCAATCTCAACACATCTTACATTTTATAGGATAAAAATTGAAAACCAATGTGTTTTAGTAGTAACAACAACTGCAAATCCTTCACTACGCATGTTCTACTGTGTAGAATGACAACAGAAAGGGGAAACTTTATACTTGAACAGTATGGCTGGTAGCCCCTACTGCTGATCCGGGTCAGCAGCAGTTTCTGTTAAAGACAACCTGTCATGGTGATGCAATATTAAAAAGGATTTATTCACCTTTCAAAACATGAAATGGACATTAACATGTTTGTAGAGTTTAAAAATCTGACAAGCCACAAGTAGTGCATGTCTCTCTCCCCCGCCCCCCCTCAAGCCCTGTGGAGCATTCTAGTCTTTCTTCAGCATGGCCATCATTTTGCTTCTTGGCCTACCAAGCTATAGAAGACAAAAATGTAACTAACTCTGTTAGCCTCAAGGCTTCTCTTCCTTTTCAGCATCAGCAACAACTGTGATATTAATAATTTCACAATTTTGAAATTTTTCAAGACTGCTTGAGAATTTTCTTGGTTACAAGTTCTGGCTGGGCTGCCTGCTGTTGGTGCTGCTAGCCACCAGGTGCCACTCTTCTGCCTACTGAATAACCCTGTTTGCTGCTGCATGCAGGGCCCTGTGCTTCTTCAGACTTCTGGTCCCTGACTGCCCCTGTACACACCACTCCTCAGGGGCTGTTAAGAGTATGGCCACAGGCTGATTAAGTTGAATTAGCTTGCCCCATGAAATTGGAGGTTTGGGGACTATGAAAAGGATGCTGCCAGGTAGGTCCCTAGTCTTCGACTTCTCAAGCCTTCCTTACTTGCAGAGCCCAATGGCTGCAAACACTCCTCCAGCCCAGCAGTTTGGGACTCCCTAGGCAAGAGGAGGTATTTGATCCCTAATTTAAATTTGCTATCTGGAGAGGCAGGTGGCCAGCAGAGTGGACACTATGCAACCTCCTCTCAATGAGTGCTCACACCCAGCTGTCAGAGGTGTGCAAAAAATGATTTTATGCAGTCTATTCTCTCCAGTTGTAAGAAGACATTTTCTCATTGGATAAATATTTGTCCAGAAAGCAGCTTCTGTTTAGGTCTCTCTCTCTTCTTGCAGTTTTTGCTATCTTTTTATGAAGCAAAGATACAAGAGTTGGTTGGTATTAATTTTGAATTCAAAGGGGTCTTTCCCTGGCCTGGATTCCACACTTCAATGATAAGTGCAAAGTAATGCACAGGGGAAAAAATAATCCCAACTACACATATACAATGATGGAGTCTAAATTAGCGGTTTCCATCCAAGAAGGAGATCTACGAGTCACTGTAGATAGTTCTCTGAAAACTTCCACTCAGTGAGCAATAGTCAAAAAGAATGTTAGGAATTTTTTTTAATCCCTTTCCTAACAAGACAAAAAATCTTAATGCCACTTTCAAAATCCATGGTGCATCCAAACCTTGAATACTGTGTCCAATTCTGGTCACCCCATCTCAAAAAGGATATGGTGGAACTGGAAAAGTTTCAGAGGTGGGCAAAGATGATTAAATGTATGGAATGGCTTCCATACGAGGACACATTAAAAAGATTAAGACTATTCAGTTTACAAAAGAGATGACTAAGGGAAGGTATTATAGAAGTCTATAAAATTATTTACCCTTTCCCACAACACCAGAACCAGGGATCACTTGATGAACTTAATAGGCAACAGGTTTAATACAAACAAGAGAAAGTACTTCTTCCAAACAAAGCACAACATGTGGAACTCATTGTCATGGGATGTTGTGATGGTCAAAACTATAACTGGGTTCAAAAAAGAACTGGATAAGTTCATAGAGGATAGAGCCATCAATGACTATTAGCTAAGATGGTCAGGGATGCAACCCTATATTTGGAATGACCCTAACCCTCTACCAGAAGCTGGGTGTGAAAGATGGTTTCCTTAGAGGTTTTTAAGGCCTGGCTTGACAAAGCCTTGGCTAGGATGATTTAGTTGGTGTTGGTCCTGCTTTTGAGCAGGGGATTGGACTAGATGACCTCCTGAGGTCTCTTCCAACCCTAATCTTCTATGACAGGACAGATCATTCCATAATTGCCCTGCTCTGCACACACCCCTTGAAACTCTGGTATGGGCCACTGTCAGAGACAGGATACTGAGCAAGATGGGCCCTGGTCTAACCCAGTATGGCAGCTCCTACGTTCTCTGCTGTTGTAAAATGTTTATTACAGGCAGTAACAACCATTCTCTTTTTATGGCTGTAAGATGGCCCATATAAGACCATTTTGTCAGACAACTCTAGGTTGCAACAACTGAAGCAGAGAAAGTATTTTCTAAATAAAAGCATTATTCCTGCCAGGAAAATGGAAAGTTTCAAGAGGTTATATTTCTCCCCACCTCTCCAAATACAGCCTTCACAAATTTGTTACTTCATTCACAACGGACACAGCCAGTGCAACAAGCTGATTGCTTTGGGGGAATCAGTCACCTTCTTAGCGAGAGCAGCAGGGTTCCCACACTCAGCAGCACGGAACTGACACCTGACTGGTACCAGTTGTAGGGCAGGGAGAATCACAGCTGCAGGCAGCTCTCCAGCTGGCCAGAGCCTGACAAATGAAATTCCATAGTACTCTGAATGCAGGCGGCCCACTGACATTCCAGAAGAAAAAAAAAAAAAAATACATCCCACATAGCTGATAGAATTGAAGGGAGAGCAGGGTAGACTTGTAGTCATCAATTTCAAATCAAGGTGCATTAAAAAAACAAACCACCAGACCTATAATTAAGAGCAATCTCTTTTCAGTGTGTAAATAGTCAATATGGAAACGGTAGCTCTCATCTAGTCCCACCTTTAATTATTCTACGTCTCCCACTGAGTCTTGATCTGGAACACAAATATATGGTAAAAAAAACCATCAACAGACGTACCATTTTATCTCCATCTGGACACATACAAGTGCTGCATTTCTATAAGAATCTACGCTTTTGAAGAAAAAGAGTGAGAGAGGATGGTATTACTATGCTGTGAAGCAAAGCTAAAGGAGGGATCAAACTTTAATGGTTCCCTACAACCAGCTCCAGTTGTAACAAAAATGTGAACCCTCTGTATTAACGACAGTGAACTACATCAGTGTCCCTTTTGTGAATGAACATCCTGCATTACCTTTTGTTTTAAAAGCTACAATTAAGATTTTGTGAGAGGTAAATAAAATTGTTTTCCCCAGTGTTTAAAAAAAGCAGCAAATACTTGTAACAACAATTCTGAAGTTTGGAAGATAACAATAAGAAGGGTAAACAGGGTTGGTAGGTGCTGCCAGGGTACTGTTGGAATAATTAATTGTGATATCTGACATCATTCCATGATCTCGAGGGAAGGCATCTTTCTTAATTTGTACTCAAACAGGGAACTTTTACTCCTTGGAGAAGGCTGATCTGGGAGAAAAACAAGATAATAGGATTTATTAATATCAGAGGGATTTTAAAGAAGCAATTCAAGATTTGCAAGGGGAGTAGAAGGGCATTGAACAGCATAGGAAGCAGGGAGAGGGAAAAAAGGTAGCTCATTTGAAGAGGATTTACAGTCCTCTGCAGAGGTTTAAACTGCCTCAAAGAGACAGTATTGGAATGAATCAGTACAATTTTTCTACAGACATCTACATGAAAAAGTTAAAAGTGGAGCTTTTCCCCTTCTTTTAATCTTTTCACCTTTTCCCAGAACTGCAAAGGTTCATCTCAGTGAGAGCTGCCATTGTAGTGGTACTTGTCAGGAGGAAGAGCAGCATGCCAATATCAGGCCCAATCCTTCCAGATGGTGAGTCTCCCTCAATACCCATTCGCAACATGATCCATCTCAAGTAGATTTTTACTTTGTGGGACTGGGCTCCATAGTTTGTCACAAAGTGCTAACCCATAGATAAATGGATGAGAAAAGTTATAGACTTTCACAGATGTTTTAAAGTTCTGTTATTTACTAGTAAAGTTTGTGTAGAATGTGATATTTACAAAGAAAGGCTGCTCCAGTGGGTAGGGCACTAACTTAGGTCTTGGGAGACCAAGATTAAGTCCTCTCCCTGCGTGACCTCAGGCAAGTCACTTGGCCCCTCTGTGCCTCAGCTCCTCATCCATAAAATGGACATAATAGTTCTTCCCTACCTAAAAAGGTGTTGTGAGGATTAAGGATTGTGAGGTGCTCAGATACTATGGTAGCGGGGCCCCACATAAATACCAGAGACAGACACACTAAACCAGTGTTAAAGAGAGGTTCTGGTAAACAGTATTTCTCTTAGCCCGGAAAGCTACCAGCCTCTCTGGTGCATTCCTCTACTGAGTAATGCTTCATTCATCATGAGCTAGTTCAGACAGGCAAGATCGCAGCTTCCTGTTCCTTCAGTAGTTACCGATTTAGAGAAAACACTATCTATACATTAAAAAATTGGACATTTGTATCTAACGAATCAATTAATACTTTAAAAAGATAAACTGCAGTTTTCCTTTTAAACATGCAAGATTACAGCTTCTAAAACCAAGCCTCACCTCTTTTCAGGATAAGACACATTTTCAGGTGGTTGTAAAAGACATCTTTAATGCCACATTTTACATTTTATTTTCTCTCTCTGTAAAGAATACCAACACTATAGAACAGATATGTTTCCAATAATGGTTTGGTCAATTTTAACTATTGTGCAAAGAAGCACCATATCTGAAAGAAACACCCAACATTTACATTGTTTACATACCCCTTATCTCAGAATTAAAAGGTTTCAAAATAAGTGTGGCATAAAACATTAATTACAGCATTCTTCTCTCAAGTCCTGACCTTTGGGAGCCTCCCAAACTTTGCCGGCTGAAATTAAATTAGTCACAAGATAAACACTTGTCAGGGGTCAGCCTTCTAGCCTAATGGGTCTGCACAGCTGTATCATCTCTCTAATCAGTTCTATGCCGTTGCTGTTCAGGATACTATAGGCCTTTTAA